AATAAATCAATTTTAAAAAATACCAGTGTGGCAATTTACTTATCTAAACCTGCTATTCTTGTGTGGCAGATCTTTGCTGAAAACTGTACATTCACCTCAATATATATATATAAAAGTCCAAGTCGTTGGCATTTGCTCTCCTCGTGTCTCTTAGGCATTATGGCTATACTTTAGTCATGTTCCTAATAGGCCTCTACCTCTCCCATAACCCCAGAGATTTATAGAGTCTCAGAAATTGATATGATTCTATGTTACTAGTCAAAGGATCTTGTGATTTACAGCTACAAACAATCTTAGAGATCTTTACCGAGCAGAAATCCTCTCTAGAAATTTCTGACTCATGCTCCATTAGCCTCTTTGAAGAATTGAGTTGATACACTTGCTCTCTACGGAGATTGTATATTCCACTTGTTAGGGAGATTTTTTCCTTATGTAGAGCTAACATTTTCCTTCCAAAGCTTCCACCCATTGGTTCTCTTTCAGTCTTCTGGGTTCAAGTAGAACAAAACCTAATTTATCTTCCTTAGGAGAGTCTTTCAGGTGCTTAAAAACAGATATATCTTCTCTAACCCCTGTAATCTTCTCCAAGCTAAATATGCCCAATTCTTTCAGCCAGTCATTAGGTGGCATGATTTCTAGTTCCTTATTGTACTGGTTGCCCTTCTATGGTCATTAATTGGTTTTTCAATTCCTTTAGAAAGATCTGCTGATTATAACTTTAGATGTGACCTAACCCAGGAAAGAATATAATGGGAATTTGCCCTCCCCTTTTCTGAGTACTTGAAAAAAATTTCCTCTACTAATGCGAGTTGGGACCTTCTCTGCAATTTATTATCTTGGAGAGTGAGATAAAGTGACTCTCTCTATTCACTATTTCATGCTACTTTTCATGTAGTCTTAGATTTCATGGGTCATATACATTGTTCAAGGAGAAGCCTAAATAAATCCAGATTGGCCATAATCATTACCAGGATGGTCAAATGGGGGAGAACTTTCTACAAAAATTTCTGAAGACTGTCTACTAAGCTATAAAAAAATTATAATTTGTTTTAATATGGGGAATAGTAACACTGACTAAATTACAATTAAAAAAAACTATTGAAATAAGTGTCTGCTACCTTGTTTGGCTGTCATGTCAATCTTGCAGTCCACTAGAACTCCTAGATCTTTTTCACGTTAGTTATTGGCTACTAACACACCACGTACATTTTAACTTTATTTTTTTAGCTGGAAAGTCACCAAGTTTTTCATATAGTAAGTTTAATAAATATTTTTAATTAAATTACTGTATGGTATAATGCATCTCCTACAAAAGATTTTTGGTTTCTTAAACACAGGATTTTATCTCAGACCTCTTTTGTACTTCCTCTTCCCTTCACCCTGCTCCATTCTCTCAGCTTCTACCCAGGATAGAGCAGAATGCCATATTCAGACTTTGCTCCCAAATGGATTTCATTTCACTGCATGTCTAGGCTCAGTTCCTTAGCAGTCAGGCTGATAGAGAGGAGAAGCAACATGATGCTGTGGAGAGGACTTCTTTGTGACTTATTTCCTTCATCTGCTGAATGGAAATAATGCTGAACCTATAAGTACAGACTTGTTATGATGATCAAGGGAAATTATGTGTCAAAGAGCCTTGAAAAATTTAAAAGTGTTTTGCAAACATGTTCTCAAAAAGGAAGAGTATTACTCTGTGTAGATTTTTTTAAAAGCTAATTCTGATTAAATAATGTAATTTAAGCCCAATTATTTAAATTACCATAGCTGTTGCCTTGAAAATAGAGCATTTTGAAAAAGGTACATTTCTGCCTGACATTAATGTTATAATTACAAAAATAAAAGCTGAGAATCAGTATTTTATTTACTGTTGGGCCAGGACAAGTGAAGGACTGGTGAGATTTATTTTTTCTTATGATTTAACTACATTCCTAACATCTGTCAGAAGGAAACCAGTAAAAGACAATTTAGAAGTATTAAAACTATAACCACTTATTCCTCATTTATACCATCTTTTTGCTTGGAGTGCTAGGAATCATGTGTATGTGAAATTGATTTCCATGAGTATTTTTCTTTTCATGAGCTTTGGCTTTCAGAAAAATTAATTGGCCATGATTCTGGTAGAATAGTCATTTGGGATTTATAGCTCTCAATTGTATATAACCTATTTGTCACCATGCATCCTCAATGCTACCTTATCCCATTTGAAAGCTTATCCCTGTTTCAGAAAATCAGCCATATTTTACATCTAATCTCTATCAGAATCCTTTCTTCTCTCATTTTTAATCCACTCAGGCTTGACTAATTCACTCTGCACTGTAACAACCTTTTAACTAGATATTTTTATTTTTCTAGCGGGAAGCTATTTTTTGTGGTTGTTGTTGTTATTGTTGTTTTTTCCTGTAAAGGGCTTCAGGGTTGTCATGAGCTGACATAAATGGGTCCCAACTACTCTTCCCACTTCTATTCAACACCAGGGGATCAAAAAGAAAGGGAAAAAAGGATAGACTCTTTCCAAAGTCAGGCATTGCATTTAGGTGCTGTCTGGGGAGGGAAAGGGGAAAGAGATGCAAGGGCAATAGGTGTTAAACTCCGATTATTCCAACCCTAATATATATATAAAAATGTTAACATTCATTCCAACCTTCCACACTTGCTATAGCTGTATTATCCCGACCATCCTTTGTTGCATCCACAGCATTTTTGTGGAGGGGGGTGGGGATGTACCAGTATAATAAAGATGAGGAAACTGGAGTTGCAATAAAGTTATATGATTACAACTACTAAATAGCAGATTTTTAATATCAACATGCATCTTATGACTCTAATTTAGCACTGACTCACTTTATTACCTCAGATTTGTACCTTCAAATATACCCTACTGTTGTGAGGTAAATTTTTGTGATCTGAGCATGTGATGTGCTTGTGAGCTACTGAAGAGAACACAGACTGTGGCAGGATACAAATCTACTCCATGAAGATTAAACTCATTTCCACTCTCCCACCCCTTAAAAGGTAATGATACCATCCTTGACATGTAATCGGCCCAGCCCTTGAGACATAACTGGTCCGTAGGACTGAGACTCACTTGTGGTAATAGCTTTTTGGTCACCTTAGTACCAAAAAAACTTAACTCATGAGAATTCAAGGGATTACTCAGACTTGACACCTACCAAGTAGCACCATGGCAAATGAGGTAGGAAATGAAGCTGTGTCCAACCATAGCAATGCTTTATCCTTACTGAATATTCAGTACATGCTATTTTTAGGAAAGCCTTTTTAATAATAATAATAATAATAATAATAATATTTTGTGCAGTTCTACCTCACTTAAATCCAATTCACATACCAATCAAGACATAATCTATGATGTCTTTGGTCTCTTGAAAAACAGTGGACAAACAACAGCAACAACAATAGCTAACATTTTTATATCACCTACCATGTGATAGGCACTGTGCTAAGTGCTTTTCAATTACTATCTCATTTGATTTTCACAACAACCCTGGGAGATAGGTACTACTATTATTTTCATTTTACAGTTGAGGAAACTGAGGCAAACAGAGGTGAAGTGACTAGCTTAAGGTCATAAGTGAATATCTGAGGCTTGATTTTTATTCAGATCTTTCTGACTCCAGGCCCAGTACTCTATCCATTGTTCTACCTCACTGGTCATTTCCCCCTTTCATTTGTTTTCTTTTTCTATTTATTTTACTTTTATTGAATGTTAACTGGGTTTGTAATTTCATTCTCATCTCTTGCCTAGATCAGCAGAGCAGTTTGAGTCAGGCCTGGCCCAGAATATGGGGTAAAACAAAGAAATATTGACCATAGGCTTGCCTCAAAGTAGTCACTGGAACATAAGAAGCACCTTTTTTTGCAATTGAATGGCCCCAGAAATCATTAACAAACATGAGAATTGTCAGATTGTAGTTTTCTTCAGCAATTTTATTTCAGTATCTGTAAGGAAATAATTTTTATTTTTCATTTAGCTGTTCAATGATGCCTAGAATGTCAATTGTCAAAAGGCATTCCAGACATAGGGAATTGTATAAGCAAAGATGTGGAATTAAGAAAGTGTGGGAGATGTTGAGAGACTAGTGAGTAGCATGGTTTGACTGTAGTGTAGAATACAAATGAGGAGAATATGTCTTTTGGCAATTCTTCTAGCTGAAAGGGAAATATTTGTCAAAGAAACAAAACTTAAGAAAATAGTATGTCCTTCAAAGAACTTCAAATAGATTGCTATAAAAGACTAACCTGCAATTTATGTGAAGGGTTAGTGTAATGAGTAATTTCACAGTCAGAGAAATGTATTACGACACGTGTAGTGCTGCTCTGTGCAATGTTAACAAGATGCACTTATTAAATGTAAATCATAACATGATATACTGTATTGTTATTCTAAGCCTTTTTTGGACTACAGTTCTCCAGCTACCATTATTTTGAATACTTGTTCATGGCAGAGGGAGGGAATTTCCCATTTTATATAAGTTTAGGTATTCTAAGATCCACCTTGTACTTTTGAGTGAATAGCACGATATTTTGGAAGGTGTGATGTGTGGGAACCAAGACATGTGGTTTCTAGCCCTGACTCTTTTATGAGGTAGATTTTTGGCTGTAGGCAAGTCTGTTCAATTAAGGTACCTCCTTGCACAAATCCTATAATTTGATGACTTAATTCTAAGGGCAAAAGTATTTTCTTAGTTTCCATAAATGAGCTATTTTTACTTTTTGGAACCTATGTTCAAGTAAACGAGATTAGAAAAAAATACAAAGAAAGAAACAAACCAGCAAAAACTTCAAAATCCTTTATGAACAGGTTGGCTGTATAATTTTTATGTATATTAGCAATAAATTCATTTTAGTTTTGGTAATTTCTATTTCTTTAAGACAAATGCATTAGAATTTTCTCTTTAGCCTCATCTACCTTGTTTCCATTACTATCTCCATATTTTCCTGAAAATTCTATAATATTAATATTATTTTTTTTTCTATTTCAGTGACTCAAGGGGGTGTTGCTTTAGTGTCTGATATGTGTCCTGATCCTGGAATTCCAGAAAATGGAAGGAGAACAGGTTCTGACTTCAGGTATGAAGTAAAGGAATGCCATATGCATGATGACATTCTAGCAATGAATCCCTATACTATTACTCTTTAACATTTTAAATTTTGATGATCTGTATTAATTGTAACACTATGCCAATTATTATAGAGAAGGAACCTTTATGAAAGTCATATTCTCAAAAGGACTATTTTTCTTATGTATGCAAACATTTAGATTTGCTTAATAGCAAAATCATGAATATTTACTTGAAACACCTCACTACTTGCATCCATATTTCACCCTGTATGGTTTTTGAATGAATTTAATAACAGATAAATGAAATTATCATCGTAATAATTATTTCTATTCATTAATGATTGACTCTAAACAGACTTTTCTAGTGATAAACATGAATGGAAGTTGTTAGTTATTTCATATAAAAACAATTTATTTTGCTAAAGATATCAAAATATTTGTCCTGTTGTTAAATTGCAAGTTCAGAGATAATTATGAACATATTATCTAAAAATTATGCATTTTCTTCAGTGAAGTCAGATTGCTTACTCTTTGTACCTATAAAATAAATAATTCATGAGGAGTCAAGTCCTAATAGATAATAGGTTGAAGTTGCAGAGAGCCAGATTTCATCTTACAGCTTTCATCTTACATCCAAAAAGTGGGTGGGCTATCTCAAGAGCTAGTGGGTTCACACTTAATGGTAGATCTTCTAAGAAAGGCAGGAAGACCGTGTGAGGTGTGTAGTATTAGGGGTACTTATTCAGTTTTGAGTAAGAATGGGTGGGTAGTCTCTGAGGTCATTTCCAATTCTGAAATGTTGTGATTCTGTAAAAGGTATGAGGGAAGAAAAACACATTTTTTTCCCTTGCTTCTGTCTTTTTGTTTTAGAAGGAAACAACAAACAGGAATAGAAAGGGTTATAAAATATTATGTCTTTCTAGTTTTAAAAAGAGCTGTTGGCTCACACACTTAGAGCTAGAGCTTGTGGATATCAGCTCCTCCTTGTGGAAACCTCATTATTGGAGAGGTAAGAAAGTGACAAGGACATCATGGGATCAAAGCATTACAGAATCATATATTTTTAGAAATAGGAAGATCCTTAGAGATAATCTGATATAACTACTTCATTCTATATATGAGAAAACTGAGTTATAGAGAGATAGTGTGATAGGGCATATGTTGGATGGTATGATGGATTTGCAATCAGCAACACCTGGGTTCAGTCCTACCCCTTTCTGCTTACTAGCTGTGCAATTGTAGACAAGGCATTTAACCTCTCTGAGCCTCAGGTGCTTACCCTGAGAAACTGGAATAATAATACCCATTAGACCATTCCTTAAGATTACTGTGAGCCATAAATGCAGAATGCTTCATAAACTTCAAAGCACTATATAAATGTCAGTTGTTGTTGCTGTTGTTGATTATGTGGCTTTCCCACAGGTCAAACAGTGCAGGGCCATTGTTTTCATGCTACTCATGAGATTCCATATTCAGTGTTCTTTTTCCCACAGCATGTTTCTATCCATTTGATCCCACTGAAAACCTCAGATACAACACTTTTTTAATGAAAAGGGTTAGTGTGATGTGTCAGACAAGACAGAGAGTAATAGTGTAATAGTGCCATAGTTAACTACCAGTTATTTCCTAATTTCTGAAACAAAAGCCTTCAGAAGGTATACAGGACAGAACTGTCTCTAACCTATTAATACAGACTCATCATCACCTAGACCTTCCTAGTATTCTGTGCAACATGTCACAGAGCAAGATGCACAAAATTTTCCCAGGAACCCACAAAAGCCAGAACAAGGTAAACATCCTTCTCACTCCATCCTACATCAGGTAATGAGAGTTACAAAGACTGAACTGCTGTGCCACAAAAATCTCTTACCTGACTCCCTTCCATTCCCTTCTTCCTACATAAAAAACTGTATAGCTATATTCAAAAGGTTAGCTGTGGAATACCAGGTCAGAGTCCTGAGTCATTCTGATTTTCATATGCTGTGCCTAGACAGAGTCAGAATTGGGAAGAGACTGATTTATCAGTGACAACCTGTCCTTTTCTTGTCCCACAATTCAATTGCCCTGACACCCTGACTGGAATAATAGAAGACAAGGATCAGGTGTGCAGATATGAAACATGACAATGACTATGCAAGAGTTATTATTTTTGCTGGCTTTATTAGAAATATAAAAGTAAAAATATTAAAATGCTTTTTAATATAAACAACTCAACTGGTGGAATGAGTTGTTGGTATTGAGAGCAAAGTTTAAAATCATAAGCTTTGCATTTGAAGCTCTCCACAATTTGTTGCCACCCTACTTTTCCAGACTTATCTCATAATTACTACCCTCCAAATATGAAGAACTCTGGCAAAAATGATTATTTCTCAAACTTCCAAAGCATGGCCTTGCTATCCTGCTTTAATGACCCTTTTTATTCTTATTTATCCCTGTAGTAGCCAGAGTCATCCTTTGATTAATTTTCAGCTATATTTTTTAGCCCTCAGGTAACCTGTTGCACCAAATTTTCCTTCATTGTGCCCTTCCCTACATTATTTGGTGACTTTTCCCTTCTTACCTTGCCTTATACCCTGTTTTTCATCCCTCTAATGCATTTAATATACAATATTCCTCATAAAATAGGGCAGTTAGGTGGCACAGTGAATAGGCTGCCAGGCCTGGAGTCATGAAGACTTTTCTTCCTGAGTTCAAATCTGGTCTCAGACACTTACTAACTGTGGAGCCTGGGCCAAGTCATTTACCCCTGTTTACCTCAGTTTCCTCATATGTAAAATGAGCTAGAGAAGGAAATGGCAAATCACTCCAATATCTTTGACAAGAAAACTCCAGGGGGGGGCGGAGCCAAGATGGCAGAGTGAAAGCAGTGACTTGCTTGAGCTCTCCCTCCAAAGCCCTCCAAATACTCATAAAAAATGGCTCTAAAGAAATTCTAAAGCGGCAGAACCCACAAAAAGACAGAGTGAAACAAATTTCCAGCCCAAGACAACCTGTATGATCGATCAGAAAGGTGTATCGCGCCGGGCTGGGAGCGCAGCACAGCACAGCATGGGCACACAGGCTGCAGGGAACCAGGAGCAGGCCTCAGAGGACTGAATCACTGGCAGCTGTGGTGGTTTCCAGACTCCTTAATCCATGAATACCAAAGACAACTTAGAAGGTCAGTGGGAAAAGTCTGTTTCTGTCGGTGCTGAGACAGGAAGGTGGGGTTTTAGCTCCATTCCCCAAGAGCCAGGCCCTGGGGGGGCAGCTGCTTCCTGAGCTTCTGGGCCACAGACTGAGGGGAAATCCAGTGGCTGATCAGAGAGGCATTGCAGGGATCTCTTTGCCAGTGCTGAGGCAGGAATCTCTTGCTTTGCCTGTGTTTGGATCTGGGTCACAGTTGTGGGTGGCAGTGCTGGGGTGAGGAGGAGCTCTGGCATGGTGGAGTTTGGAGTGGCTGTGGACAGGAACCCTTTCTCACAGTTACAGGACAGAAAGGAATACTTGTGGTCACAGGCCAGGAAAGGAGTAAACACCTCGCCCCTTACCATACTACCTTGGAAGAATTGAAAACTTACAGGTCCCTACAAGTATCTCTGAAAAAAGCTGTACAAACCCCTGAAGCTTGGGACAGTACATTCTCCACATTGGAAGCAGACTCTTACCTTAACAAAGAGTTTAAAACTCAAGTAATTGGCTGGGATCATGAGCAAGCAGCGCAAAAAGAGTCAGACCATAGAATCTTACTTTGGTGAAAAAGAAGATCAAAATATACAACCAGAAGAAGACAACAAAGTCAAAGCTCCTACATCCAAAGCCTCCAAGAAAAATATGAATCAGTCCCAGGCCTTGGAAGAGCTCAAAAGGGATTTTGAGAAGCAAGTAAGGAAGTAGGAGGAAAAACTGGAAGAGAAATGAGAGTGATGCAAAGAAAATCATGAAAAACAAGTCAACAGCTTGCTAAAGGAGACCCAAAAAAATACTGAAGAAAATAACACCTTAAAAATAGCCTAACCCAAATGGCAAAAGAGGTCCAAAAAGCCAATGAGGAGAAGAATGCCCTAAAAAGCAAAATTGGCCAAATGGAAAAGGAAGTCCAAAAGCTTACTGAAGAAAATACTTCCTTAAAAATTAGAATAGAGCAATTGGAAGATAGTGACTTTATGAGAAATCACGACATAGTAGAACAAATCCAAAAGAATGAAAAATTAGAAAACAATGTGAAATATCTCATTGGAAAAACAACTGACCTGGAAAATAGATCCAGGAGAGAGAATTTAAAAATTATTGGACTATCTGAAAGCCATGATCAAAAAAAAGCCTAGACATCATCTTTCAAGAAATTATCAAGGAAAACTGCCCTGATATATTAGAACCAGAGGGCAAAATAGAAATTGAAAGAATCCACAGATCTCCTCCTGAAAGAGATCCCCAAAGGAAAACTCCTAGGAATATTGTAGCCAAATTCCAGAGTTCCCAGGTCAAGGAGAAAATATTACAAGCTGCCAGAAGGAAACAATTCAAGTACTGTGGAAACACAATCAGGATAACACAAGATTTAGCAGCTTCTACATTAAAGGACTGCAGGGCATGGAATATAATATTCCGGAGGGCAAAGGAGATAGGATTACAACCAAGAATCACCTACCCAGCAAAACTGAGTATAATCCTTCAGGGAAAAAATGGTCATTCAGTGAAATAGAGGACTTTCAAGCATTTTTGATGAAAAGACCAGAGCTGAATAGAAAATTTGACTTTCAAATACAGACTCAAGTGGAACATGAAGAGGTAAACAGGAAAGAGAAATCATAAGAGACTTATTAAGATTGAACTGTTTACATTCCTGCATGGAAAGATGATATTTATAACTCATGAGACCTTTGTCAGTATTAGGGTAGTTGGAGGAAAAAATTATATGTATTTATATGTAGATAGATAGATAGAGGGCACAGGGTGAGTTGAAGATTAAGGGGTCATATCTGGAGAATAAAATTAAGGGATGAGAGAGGATTATACTCAGAGAAGA